TAAATCGATTTTTCCGAAGTTTTGTAACGAATTAAAACGATTTTTTCAAGTTTTTGTCACGAATTTCATCGGTTTTTTCGAGAAAAACGTACAACGAATTTCTTCGATTTTTTCAAGTTTTTGTGGCGAATTTCATCAGTTTTTTCGAGAAAAACACGCTACGAATTTTATCGGTTTTTTCAAGGAAAAAACGCTCAGCGATTTTCAACGATTTTTTCACGTTTTTCAAGGAAAAAACGTTCATCGATTTTCACCGATTTTTTCTCGTTTGAAATAGAAAGAAACATTCAACGACTTTTATCAATATTTTTGTGTTTTGTGAAGAAAAATACGCAGTGAATTTCATCAATTTTTTTCGTGAAATAAAGAGCATAATAATCAAGAAATAATACAACGATTTTTGACGATTTTTTCGAACATTTTCATAAATAAAATTAATAACTTTCATAAACAATCTGATTAGATATGAAAAAATAAATGGGAAATGGAAATAGCAATCTGACAGGAGGTCTAAGAATCAGAGTTTTAATATTAGAAGAACGAGTGTATATTGGACTAACTGGTTCAGGACTTTTTGAAGGACTTATTCGTAATTTCGGTACAGAGAGAAATATATCAATTAATCAGACACGTTGGGGTACTCCGTTTCCATATTTGGAGGACTACACATTTGCAACCGACGTTTTACTCGAGTCGATTGCACATCCTGAATTAATTTCAGAGGGTGAATCAAGTGGTGAAAGTGAATCAGCGAAGGTCCTGCATCTAAGCGTCTGACAGCTCACTTCTAGCGCTACGAGACAAGTGTCAAAAGTTGTGACACAGATCGTTCAATGTATTATTGAATCTTTTTTATATTTGTTAATAAAGTAGACAAAAAAAATAAAAATGTCACGAATGTGCAAAATTGATTTTTGTGAGAGCGTAGCACGCGATAAACATTATTTTTATAATTAAAAAATGTTTCTTTCATTACGGAACATTGTTGATGCGTTCAATTTGTCGCGTTCATGAGTGCGTCTAACGACGTAAAGAATTGAAATGAACTTCACTGAATGCGCTCATCGCAAATTCGTGTTTTACTTTGTTTTGTTAGTGTGGTGCAGGGGTTGTGTGAATCAGACAGCGAAGAAATTTACAACATCAGACACGAATTGAGTGAAAACTAGTTTGAAACTTTGAAGAAAAAGTTGACATTTCGTTCCATCTTTTTATTATAAAAAGGAAAAATTAAATGGGAAGCAGTCTTAGCTCTTTATCTGGTTTATTATCAATTAAAGTAATAATTTCAAAGACTCGAGTGCATGTCAGATTGAGTGGCAGTGGATTTTTAAGTGGCGTGTCAAGAAATTTTGTGATCTTACGAGACCAGCGAAGTTCAACAACACCAAGTTTTCGGCGTAAACTTGAAGTATATTCATTCAATACAATAGTATCGGTAGAAGCAGATTCGGATATCGAGAATTCGGATAAGGAAAATTAACTTGACTTCAATTATATGGAAAGAGTAGAACCAGACGAGTTGCGGATAACATTAATCATCGGAACGAGAACCATCAGCGCAATAATCAACGGAAGCAGTAATTCGAGCCATATCAGGATATTTTGAGATTAGAAGAGACACCACGTATTTGCAGTTAGAGGCTGAAGTTATTTGTTTGATCATACCAACGACAACAAAATAAAGGTGAGTAAATTTTCAATTTAATGAATCGGCCACAGGCGAGTAGGCTGGAAAATTTACAATTACCACTTAAATTAGACCAATTGATTAGAGAGCTAAAAACACTGCAATCAAAACTCAAAAACGCGGAAAAACGAGACGACCTATTATTGATCGAAAGTTTGCGTCGTAAAGTAAATTATAAAACAAAAGAAGTAATTGCCAAACGTAACAGAATTGTTGAATATTTGTTTGAGGGACATTTAACATTTAAAACCCTTTCATTAGAAGAACTCCTGAAAAAAGAGGAGGATATAGAAGCTGTTTTGAGGCTATCAAACCTGGATGAAAGAAGAGAAAATTATATAAATATTTTAAACGAATTAAAACAAGTTATCAAAGAAAAATCAAAACTAAGATCTCTTGAGAGTTTTATCAGTTCAGAAATGGTTTTTAGATCACCACTCAATGATAAAGAAAAGGAGACAAATTCTGATGAAAAAGATAAAGAATCTGATGATAGTGACACTGACACTATTAAAGACGTCGATGAAAAAATAGAAAACATTGATAACCCCGAAACGATTCCAGACAGAAATGAGAGAGGCGGAGCTTTTAGTCTGACTCAGTCAAAATTCAATGACCTTTTCGATAATTTCAATTTAAAAAGTTCAACCAGATATTCGGAGGACCTGAGAGAACCTGCTCAGCGTCGACCGGAAAAGGATATCAAGGATATGAACGAATTTTTTGATAATCTTCGAATTTCGGCTAGTGATACCACTGGTCCTCCACCAAAACCGAATAGAGACAGTCTTAAATTGAATTTTGGGGGTTATATCCCAACTCCCAATAGAAAATCAGTCAAATTCAGTGAAGTGGATCCACGTAAACATTTGTCAACCATTGCAGAAGAAAGTCATTACTTGAGTCAAAGACGTGTGTTGGACAAAGAAGAGGGTTATAATACGGTTGACATAACTTCTGATGATTTCGTAAATAAAAGAAGACGAAAACGGGATGAATTAGTATTTAGACCAGATCATTTTTCTTTAACTGAAACGGAATTAAGAGAATGTGCAGAACGAGAAGCCAGATATAAAAAAGAGAGGATGAATAAAGAGCGCAGTCAACATGAACAGGAATATTTGAATCCATTCTTTATGCCAGGAAATCGTTTTCAACAAGTTGATTCGAATTTTCAAGGCCGACCAACAATGCATTCTCAATCAGACTTTACTTCACGTAATTTTCCACAATTTTCGGGTATTAATGAGTTACCTGTATCGAATACTCGTCGCACTGGTGAATTTTCTTCGATAAATGAACCAGTATATGTTGATATGCATGATTTACATATGTCCAATCGAAATATGCCTATTAATCCAAATATCACAATGATGCCTCGAAACTTGAATACTGACCATATTCAGCGTCCAAGTATAAATCCAAATAATTTTTTCGCATCCGCACAGCCGAGTAATTATTTTCAAGACAATTTTCCTCAAAATATACAACAATATCGTAACACAGACAGATTTTAATCTGCCTAATCAGGCAATGTCGACGCGACAGTTGGATCAAGATGCAACAAATGACTATGAGATTAGACGACAATTTCTTCGTCGCCTTAAATCCATTCCAAAATTTGATGGTAGTTCGTATCGAGAATTAATAGATTTTGTCAATATTTCTGACACATTGTTTAGATCGTGCATGAATGAAGCGGAAGAAAATGAGTTTTATGAACAAATGATACTCCAATTGCGCGGTGAAGCGAAGCAAGTTATTTCTAACTCGCGTAGTTCAGACTGAGATACAATCAAATCAAAATTGCAAAAACACTTTTCTTATCTTGCAAACAAAGAGGTGTTGACCAGTCAATTAGAAAACATGCGTCAAGAAAAGGATGAATCATTGGCCAAATACGCCGAACGTGCAAGAAAAATGCTTCAAGAGAAAAATTCTGTTTATAAAGTTTTGACAGAAGATCAAAAACTGGAACATAATCGAATGGCCCGTAAAGCGTTTGCGAAAGGTATACAAAATGGCAAATTAAAAACCAGACTTATTACGCGTGGTGCCAGCTCATTAGAGGATGCAATTGCTTATGCAATCGAAGCAGAGAACGATGAATTGTATGAAATTCCTAAACAGGAATTGTATTGCAAGCATTGTAGGTCAAACGGTCATCGGGAAAATGAATGCCGCATTAAAAACGCGAATAATAATGGATTAAATACACTGGTGTCCGCACTACAGTCATTCAGTGCAAACAGAATTCCTATGAGAAACAACCGCGGTGATTCTAATCGATTTAATCAGGGTTGGAACAATAATAATAATGATAATAATAATAATAATAATCGATTTAACAATCAAAATTGGAACACACGTAATAATAATAACCAACCTAATCAGAACTGGCCTGCTAGAAATAATAATTCCAATCCTAACAATAATTCCAATAACAACCGAAATCGGAACTGGTCCGATCAAAGGGTTAATCAACAGCAACCCAACCAGAATCGTTTTCCACAGCGCAATGATAATCGTACAAATCAAAGATTAAGTAACATCCTTTTGGGTGATTTTGAACTTTCTGATGATGAGTATCTTTCGGAAAACTAGAAAGGGTGGATCAAGAAGGCCTGCTTGCTCCATCCAATCCAGCCAATTCAAATATTGCCAAAAAACAAAGCTCAAAGAAGCATTGAAATAAAGCACAATATTTATAATGAGAATGGAGCACCATTCATTTATCTAAGTACGAATTTGAGTGAAAGGCCAATACGATTAATGGTAGATACCGGGGCAGCGATATCAATCCTAGCATCGGATATTGTGCTTGAGAGTGTGAGAAAGGTCAATTATACTGTTAGTCTGTTTGGTATCGTCGGCAAAGAAGTTTCGGTAAAAACCGAAGGAATGGTCGTTGGTTTATTCAAAATGAGTAAACAATTAATCAGCACAACGATGCATTTAGTGGATCGCAAATATGCGGGTCCTGGAGACGGTTACCTATCTTATGAATGGTTAATGGCTTATGATGTGATTGTTGATATGAGTGAGATGTGTGTGAAATGTAGTCTAGATAATTTAATTAAAACACCCTTAGTGTAGTAACGCAGTGAATGAGTGAACAGTATGAGTGCTGGTAAACGACTGATTTATTGTACGATTCTTAATACTAATGAACAATAGCTGTCAGTGTCAGTGATGACAGATACTTATGCTACATCTCCTTTTTTCTAACTGTGTCCTTTGCCTCCCTTTTTTCCAAAAATATATGTCTATGTTATTTATTTTCATTTACTAAATGTATTCTTAATCTCAATTCAAATAAGGCAGGAAACAATATTCAAGAGAAATAATCTAAGCTAAATGAAAAAAAATTGAATGAAAATTTTACTTCAAAAAACAAGATTTCAATAAATAACACCAATTAATAAGTTCGGCCACTCCGTGTGCATTTTCGATGAACGTGGGCTATCGGTGTTTGATTTGTTTTGTCTTGGTTCGTTTTTTCATTAAATATTCGAATGTGCCGTGTGTTCCGACGATAGTCTCGACCGTTAGATCGAACAACATATGACCGTGGTGTATCGTGTTTATCAACAACGTTCCCGTGTTGCCATTTGTCGTTGTTTCTGAATAAAACGCTTTGTTCATTTTTTAAGTCGAGGTTTCTCGGCTTGGCACATTTGTCGTAATATGATTTACAGATCTTTTGCTTTGCTTGTTGTTGTTTTTCGACGTCAATGCATAATTCGGGTCGAAATTTATCGATGTGCATTGGCAATTCAGTTCTCAAATTTCGATTTTGAATTAGCTGAGCTGGCGAATATGACATGTTTTTGGTTGGTGTGGTGCGGTATGCGAGCAATGCTCTGAGAATATCTTCTTCATTCTCTGACTTCCTTAAAATATTTTTACAAATACCGACCGCTTTTTCAGCCATTCCATTTGACTGTGGGAAATTAGGGCTGCTTGTAATGATTTCAATATCATGCTTTTTTGCGAATTGTTTGGTTTCATAAGAACCCATTGGCATATTATCTGCAATTATTATATGTGGGTAACCAAATGTAGCGAATAGCCTTAATAATTCTGTATTTACATGATGAGCAGTTTTGCCTTTCAATTTAACTAATTCTATCCACTTCGAATAGAAGTCAACTACACAGCAAAACATTTGAGTGTAAAGTTTACTCTTGAGTTAGGTTAATATAGCGGTTTCAACTATTTTAGGGGAATTTACACCGAATTTTGGGTAAAATGAGTTGTTTTCTATGCGTCTGTCCGAATGGCTACTGTTCATGTACGCACTAATACATTGGCACGCACTGGTGCCGAGTCTGTGAGCTTGTATGTATTGTAATTTTTGTACTCAACGGGTTATACAATATATACAAACTCACAGACTCGGCACCAGTGCATGCCAATGTATTAGTGCGTACATGAACAGTAGCCATTCGGACAGACGCATAGAAAACAACTCATTTTACCCAAAATTCGGTGTAAATTCTCCTAAAATAGTTGAAACCGCTATATTAACCTAACTCAAGTGTACACTTTACACTCAAATGTTTTGCTGTGTACGACAAGAAAACTCTTTGATTTAAAATCTCAAATGTCGCATGCAATTTTCTTGAACGGTTCATTCGGAATGTCATGTGGCAAGAGCGGCTCTTTTTGAATTTTCGGCGCATTCTCTTGACAAATAATGCAATTTGAAACTGTTTGCTCTATTTCATTGGAAATGTTTGGCCAGAATACTGAATTTTGGGCACGTTTGAGCGTTTTGTTTATGCCGAAGTGCGGCTTATGCAATTGGTGCAAAATTTCTTTTCTCATGGATTTTGGAATGATTATTCGTTGTTTATAGAACAGGATTTCGTCTTCGAGCAATATGTCGGACCTGAGTCTATAAAAATATCTCGTGGATGGATCGCATTTGTCTTTATTATTTGGCCATCCGAATTCGCAATATTCCTTGATTTGCTTTAAAATTTCATCATTGTTCGTCTCTTGCTGTAATTCGATTTTACGCGCGTCTGTCACGTTAATCGACAAGATCGACTCAGTAATTGATTGATCTTCCGAAACCTTTTCACTTTTGCTCATGTATCTCGATAGATAATCCGCTAAAACTATCGTTTTGCCAGGTGCATGTTCAAGAATTATGTCATAATTGAGTAATTTAAGTCTCATTCTCTGTAGTTTTGCTGACGCTATTTTGTGTATTTCTTTATTCATGATTCCAAGAAGGGGCTTGTGGTCGTTGACAATTCGCACTGTTCTGCCGTAAGTGTAGAAATGAAACTTTTGGCAGGCGAAAATAATTGACAACATTTCTTTTTCAATTTGAGAGTAATTTCTTTCAGAAGCGGTTAGGCTGCGTGACGCAAACGAAATTGGTTTGCCATCTTGAATCAAACCACATCCTAAGCCACCCTGTGACGTATCACATTGAATAATTAACTCTTTTGAAATGTCGAAAGGCACGAGAATTTCCGAATTAAGAATGCATTTTTTGATCTCATCGAACACTTTGTCATGTAACTCTGTCCAAAGGAAAAGAACATTTTTCTTTATCAATTCACGCAACGGAGCCGTTCGATCTGACAAATTAGGTATGAACGGAGTCATGAAATTCACAACTCCAAGAAATGTTTGTAAATCATTTTTGTTCTTTGGTCGTGTCATTTCAGCAATAGCTAAAAGACGTTCTGGATCAGGCTTGATTTGATTATATGAAAAAATGTGACCTAAATATTTCACTTCTTCTAATGCAATTTGTGCTTTGTTTATGTTGAAGCGTACATTTTTCTCTCTTGCGCGGTCCAAACCTTTTTCAATACTTCATCGTGCTCTTTTCGTGTGCGACCCACTATTAAAATATCATCAAAATAAATCATTACATTTTCAATGTCTCCAAAGTTCTCAAAATTAAATTGTTGAAACACGCCAGGAGCGGTTTTTATCCCAAATGGCAATCTTAAGAATCTGTAATTTCCATAGGGAGTTGCGAAAGTGCAAAGTTTTTTCGATTCTTCATCTAATTTAACGTGCCAGTAACCATCTTTCAGGTCTAATACTGTGAAATATTACATGCCATTTAATTGTGATGACACATCTTCAAAAGTTGGAATAAATGCGTGTTCATTGAAAATACTTTTATTTAATTCACCTGGATCGATGCATAATCGCAGTGATTTTTCAGCGTCTTTTTTCTCAACGGTGACTAAATGATTCACCCATTCACAATAACCGGTAGCCTTTTCGATTATTTTATTCGCAACTAATTCATCTAATTTCATTTTTAATCTGTGTCTAATTGCCAATGGTACTCTACGCGGTGCGTGAGCGATTGGTGTTGCATTTTTGTCAACGCTGATTTTGTATTCGCTATTGAAACATCCGAGGCCTTTAAACAAATCAGGATAACTTTTCAACACAGACTCTTTGTCAAGGCTAACTTGATCTAGTCATAATTTTTTAGTTTGATACGCGGTATTTGTGAATGTGCGCGATTCAACTGTTGGCGAGACTAAACCAAACTGAATGCATGATTTCAAACCGAGAATAGGCATTATGTCAATATCAACAACAGCTGTTTTCATATCACATGACTTTTTGTTAAATTTGCCAAGCAGAGAACACATACCGACTGGTTTCAATTTTTCCCCGCTGAAGGCTCGTAATTTGACATTCGTTCGATGCGATTCGATCTCCGTTCTCAACTGAAGGAACACACTCAGTGGAATCACATTGACTTGGGCACCGGTGTCAATTTTAAATGCAACCAATTGTCCTCCAATCCATATCTTCTCAATCCACGGATAGCTCACTTCATCGTCATCATCTCCAATGGCGTAAACCTTTTCAATTGATGAAATTAAAAATTCTTCATTATCACTAATTTCACATTTTGATTCATATGCTGTAACGGCTGAAACATTTTTAGATCTACAAACAGAACTGTAATGATTTTTACGTGAACATGCTGTACAATTTTTACCGTAGGCTGGACACTGTCTAATCTTGTGTGTTAATGCGCAATATTTACAATTTACAATCATTTTATCAGACCTGTCAACGTTGCTTGTGTTACCATTACGGTTTGTGTTGTACGTTTGTTGTTGTTGCTGTCGTCTTCCTTCATTCGCACAGTCGCTTCGATTTGCTTTGCTGCTGCCGCTGTTGTTGCCACTTTTGTACTGCTTAGTGTTGTTGTTGTTGGATTTGTGCTGCTTGCGGTTTTGTGTGTGTTTCTTACCGGCCACGTGGCTGCTTTCTTCGAATGCATTCACAGAGACTGTTTTATTCATGCTCGTCATTTGCTCGCTTGTCGCTTCGTGCGTGCGGCACTTATCCACTGCTTTGGTGTAGTCGAGGTCGGAAATTTCGAGTAATTTTCGCTGTAGTCGTTGGTCGTTCACTCCCATGACAATTTGGTCTCTGAGCATTTCGTTTTCTTTGTCGCCGAATTCACAAGTGCTCACGAGCTGCCTAATGTGAATCAAAAACGTATCGAATGGTTCACCATCATTTTGCTTTCTTTGGTAGAACCTGTATCGCTCGTAGACTGTGTTCTTTTTTGGTTTGCAAAAATCGTCAAATGCTTT